TTATTTATAATTTTATATTTAAAATTTTATTTATTTTTATTATTTTTATTATTTTATTTATTTATAATTTTATATTTAAAATTTTATTTATTTTTATTTTTACTTATTAAAACTTTAATTTTAAGTTTAAAAATTTAAATTTTGTTTTTTAATTTTTTTTATTTTTATTTTTATTTATTAAAATTCTAATTTTAAACTTTGAATTTTAACTAAAACCCTAATCCTAACTCTAATTCTAACTCTAATCTTAGAACCCAAAACTAACTCTAACCTAACCCTAACCCTAAACCCTAACTCTAAATACCTATTTTTTTTGAATTTGATGTTAAAACTTCAATCAAGCCCCAAAAATTTGCGAGAACCCAAATTTCTAAATCAAATTTTTACAATACTTAGTTAGAGTTTTAAAACTCTGATTAAGCTCTAAAAATTTGCAAAAATCCAAATTCTTAAATCAAATTTATACAACATTTAGTTGGAGTTTTAAAACTTCAATCAAGCCCTAAAAATTTGCTGAAACCCAAATTCTTAAATCAAATTTATGTAATACTTAGTTGGAGTTTTAAAATTCTGATTAGCCTCCAAAATTTGTAGAAACCCAAATTTCTAAATTAAATTTTTGCGACAATTAGCTAGAGTTTTAAAACTCCAATCAAGCCCACAAAATTTGCAGGAATCCAAATTCTTAAATCAAATTTTTGAGGCATAATCAGAGTTTTAAAACTTCGACTAAGTGTTGCAAAATTAGCAGAAACTCAAATTTCTAAATCAAATTTATATGATACTTAATCAGAGTTTTAAAAACCAATCAAATTCTAAAAATTTGTAGAAACCCAAATTCTTAAATCAAATTTTTGTGACACTTAGTCAAAGTTTTAAAACTTTGATCAAGCACTAAAAATTTGCATAAACCTAAATTCCTAAATCAAATTTACGTGATACTTAGTCAGAGTTTTAAATCTCTGATCAAGCTCTAAAAAGTTGTAGAAACCCAAATTCTAAATTAAATTTATATAATACTTAGTTGGAGTTTTAAAATTCTAATTAGCCCCAAAAATTTGTAGAAATCCAAATTCTTAAATTAAATTTTTGTAACAATTAGTCAGAGTTTTAAAACTCCAATCAAGCCTGCAAAATTTGCAGGAACCCAAATTCTTAAATTAAATTTTCAGAGCTTGATCAGAGTTTAAAACTTCAACTAAGTGTTTTAAAATTTGCAGGAACTCAAATTCCTAAATCAAATTTACACAATACTTAATCAGAGTTTTAAAACTCTAATCAAGTCCTGAACATTTGTGGGAACCCAAATTCTTAAATTAAATTTTTGTAACACTTAGTCAGTGTTTTAAAACTCTGATCAAGCTCTAAAAATTTGCATGAACTCAAATTCCTAAATCAAATTTATATGACACTTAGAGTTTTAAATCTCTAATCAAGCCTGAAAATTTGTAAAAACCCAAATTCCTAAATCAAATTTTCATGACACTTAGTCAGAGTATTAAAACTCTGATAAAGCCTCAAAAATTTGCAGAAACCCAAATTCTTAAATGAAATTTTTGTGATACTTATTCAGTTTTAAAACTCGAACAAGCCCCAAAAATTTGAGGATAGACAAATACTGAAGTCAAATTTTCTTGACACTTAGTTAAAAATTTAAAACTCTAACCAGGCCCTAAAATTTACAGGAACTCAAATTCCAAAGTAATTTTTCACAATACTTAGTCTGAGTTTTAAATCTCTAACCAGGTTCTGAAAATTTCTGGGAACTCAAATTCTGAAGTCAAATAATTTTGACACTTAATTGGAGTTTAAATTTTAAAATTAGTTTTTACATCTATATATTTTTTTAAAGAAGAAAGAAAACATACAGTTAAGAAGACTAAATTGCTCCATATCTTGTGTTTCTCTAAGGTAATTTTAATTCACCAAATATATTTTAGCTTTCAATGTTGTTTATCTACAACTTTTTTTTAATTGTTAAAGAAAATTTAATCCAATCAAAATCTATGAGACAGTAGTGGTCACAGATTTTAAGTTACAGAGATTTGTGCTTTATATATAAAGATCTAGAGAAAATTCCAGGATCATATAGTTATAGTGATTTGCATTTTATAAATTTTGACTAGTCTCTAACCTGATGTATAGCATCAAGCTTTAATATTATTACACCAATTCTGGTTCAAAAGAACCCAAATAAGGTCTCTTTGAACCATTCCTAGTTCAAAAAAAATGATTTGAGTCTTTTTGAACAAATTCTGGTTCATAAGAACCTGATTCGGGTCTCATTAAACCAATTCTGGTTCAAAAGAACCTGATTCAGATCTCTTTAAACCAATTCTGGTTCAAAAAAACTTGATTCAGGTCTTTTTAAACCAATCCTAGTTCAAAAGAACCCAATTCTGGTCTCTTTGATCTGATCCTGGTTCAAAAAACCCGAATTAGAACTTTTTGAACTGATTCTTGTTCAAAAGAACCTGAATCGGGTCTCTTTGAATTGCTCCTTGTCTAAAAGAACCCAATTCGGGTCTCTTTGAACTAATCATGATCCAAAAGAACCTGATTAGGGTCTTTTTGAACTAATCCTGGTTTAAAAGAACCCAAATCAGGCCTCTTTGAACTAATTCTGGTCTAAAAGAATCTGATTTGGGTCTCTTTGAACTGATTCTGGTCTAAAAAAACCTGAATCAGGTCTTTTTGACTGATCTTGGTCCAAAAGAACCCGAATTGGGTCTCTTTGAACCAATCCCAGTTCAAAAAAACCTGAATCAGGTCTCTTTGAACTGATCCTGATCTAAAAGAACCTGAATTAGGACTCTTTAAACCAATTCTAGTTCAAAAGAACCCAATTTGGGTCTCTTTAAACCAATCCTGATCCAAAAAAGCCCGATTTGGGTTTTTTTGAACCAATCCTAGTTCAAAAGAACCTGATTCAGGTCTCTTTGAACCAATCCTGGTCCAAAAAAACCTGATTCGGGTCTTTTTAAACCAATCCTAGTCTAAAAGAACCCAATTTGGGTCTCATTGAACCAATTCTGGTTCAAAATAATATGATTTGGTCTCTTTAAACTAATCCTGGTTCAAAAAAACCTGATTCAGGTCTCTTTGAACCAATCCTGGCTAAAAAGAACCTGATTTGGATCTCTTTGAACCAATTCTGGATAAAAAGAACTTAATTCGGGTATCTTTGAAACAATTCTGCTCAAAAGAGCTCGATTTGGGTCTCTTTGAACTAATTCTGCTCAAAAGAACCCAGTTCGGATCACTTAGTCAGAGTTTCAAAACTCTGATTAAGCCTTGAAAATTTGATAAATTTAAATTTCAGAGTTAGTTTTTTGCAACACTTAGTCAGAGTTTTAAATCTCTGATCAAGCCCTGAAAATTTGAGGTAATACAAATTCAAGTATCAAATTTTTTTAACACTTTATCAGAGTTTAAATTTTAAATTTAGTCTTTGTGACTATATATTTTCTTCTTAAAAAAGAAAACATATAGTTGTGAAGACTAAAAAGCTTATTTTTTCATAATCCTCCAAGATGATTTTAATTCGCCAAACATATTTTTTACCTAGAAAATATTTTTTTAAAACTTTCTTTAAGTGTTAAAAAAATTTTAATTAAAACATAATCTATGTAATATAAGTAGTCATAGTTTTTTGGTAACTAAGATTTGCACTTTATATATGGGGCTTTGAAAAAATTCTCAAGTTACTCGGTTACCGAGATTTCCACTTTATATATTTTGACTAGTCTCCAACCCGGTGCATAGCACTAGGCTTTAATGTTATTAAATAAAAATTTAATAAAATAAATATTTTTAATTTAATTTAATAACTTTAATAGTTTTTAATTATATTTATCAGCAACATACAATTAAACATTCTATAAAAACAACTTTATTAAAGACAATATAACTTGTATTGATTTGCTAACATTCAGCAATACTAACTAAGCTTGCTTTGCTCACTTAGTAGTCACTTGCTACGGCTAATGCCTCTGCACCGCTCCTGTTATCTAATACTAATACTAACCCTAAACTTAATCCTAACCCTAACCCTAACCCTAAAAAATCTTAAATTTAATTTTATTCTTAATTTTAGTCTAACTAATCTTAGTTTTAATTTTATTTTTATTTTTAGTTTTAATTATATTTAATTAAGTTTATATATAGCAGTATAAAAAAACTCTTCCCATAGATCACTCTACCAAAACAAGAACAAGAAAAAAATTTTGCTCGACAATATCTCGTAAACTTACTAAGTAAATTAATATCTGGCTCCTAAGTAAAGTTATCCAGCACCCCAAATAGTACCTAAAAGAGATGCATTTTTTTTAGAAA